CTTTACTTTCAGCTTTTGGTGTTCTACTTTCCTGCCTGGGCTGGCTTCAAACCACCACAATCCTCAGATCTCAGCCTCCTGAGTAGCTAGGATTACAGGTGTGAGCCATTGGTGCCTGGCTTAAAACTCTGGCTTTAGAAAACCTCTGAGAATGTTCTCTCAAGACTCACAGTGGTCCTGCCTAGGAGTAGGAAGATTTGGAAACAGCTTCCAAATTCACCTTTTGTCTACAGGTCCAGAAACATGTGTATCCCATCAACGACCTTCCATTCTATCTCCCATCCCAGGAGCGCCAGAGGGAGCGGAGGGTCAGGAGTGGCAAGACAGCCTTTCCCTTTGCCCTGTGTTTCTCCTGAAGGCTTGTTTACAACTCCACGGACTTGTTTTCTGATCATTGGTTTCTCCTTGGGACCTGAGTTCAATAAGGAAGTTGTTAGCTGAAACTCTTCCCTGGCCCCTCCCTGGCGTCCCTGAGCAGGGGAAGCTGCCCCGAGAGGGGCGGTGACAGGTGAGCAGGTGGCTGGCCCTTGATGCTCTTGATTGGCTGTTGATGAGCTCAGTTCTGGCAGATATGATATAACTGCTCAAGGCATGAGCAAACTTACCAGCAGGGCTAGGAACGCCTCCTCCAGGAAAGGGCTCAAGACCCTCAGAAACTCCAACTTCCAGCCCGCAGCGACTACAGCATCGTGCTCTGGAGGCCAAGGTGAACCGGGACCGGAGCCACTTCCGCGGGCCAAGGTTGGTGTGATGTTCCCCATTCCTTCCAGGGCTGGAGCCCTGCGGGGAGGCATCTACAAGTCCTGAAGGGAGGAGAGACTTAGGGTCTGACCCTAAGTCCAGCCCCCCATTTTCAGAGAAGAGGGGGTAGGATATAGTGACTCCATCTCAATGAGGAATTCTGAGCTAGCTTAGACTACGAATCCCAATCATTTTATCATTAGCTGCTACCTTGAGCAAGGGAATTTCACTTCTGTGGGCCTCTCCCATGGTTGGTTTCCCCATAGAACATTTCATAGGGTGAGATACAGACTTCATAGAAGGTGGAGCCTGCTCTTGGATAGAGGGCATGGTGAGGAGACACAAGCTCTCAGTTAGGAAGGGAAAGGAGCAGTGATCATTTTTAGGGTTCTCCAACTTTGGGGGTCACATCCCCAGAGTCCAGCTAGGTCTGCTCCACAGCGCCTGAAGGCTCACCACTGGGCAGTTCATGCCTTGGAGTGTCAGAGTTCTGAAAAGATGAAAAACAGTCTCACTGAGCATGGTGACACATGCCTTTAATCCCATCACTGGAGAAGCTGAAGCAGGAGGAGCTAGAGTTCAAGGCTAGCCAAGGGTACATAGACTTTGTCTCACAAAACAAACGAAGCTAACCAATCTACAATCCCACCAACCAAACAGAAAACAGCGAAAAGCTCCTACCTTCTGGAAAACAGGTGCTGGGTGACAGAAAGTTTGTTTGGTGGGGACAAGGTGGAGCAGGCCAGGCCCCACCGCTTTCCTTGGAGCTGTGGGTTGACCCAAGCTGAGCCCATACTCCCTGCGGAGCCACGAGCCTGCTTGGAGATCCTAGAACCTGAGGCTGGGGCAGGGGAGGCCCTGATGCTGAGCGCGGAGTCCTGTCCGGAAGTCCTGCCCACCCCACTCAGCATTAAGTGAATGATGGGCAGCTGGGCAGCAGCTAGACCGGGTACCCAGGTGGGATGGGTCTAACCAGAACACGGCGGCGGCGGCGGCACCCACAGGCCTGGGCAATTGGGGTGGTAGGCAGGGCAGAGAGGACACGTGGGGCGAGGGGTCCTCCTCTCGTGTGACCCCCCCCAACTTCTGCCTAGCCTCAAAAGCCAGACTTGCCGCAGCGCATTTTTCTAGCTCCAAGGCCCTCACGCAGGCCTGGGCTTATCCAAGATGGCAGCTCCCTGCCACCAGGAGGGGCTACCACTCCACAGGAGCCTCTGTGAGACCCCCCCAAAAAAGAAAGGGGGTGTCCTGAATGCTCACTAGCACAGGGATGGCAGGTATGGAGCAGGACAGGCCCAGGGCTGACCACCCTGACCCCCACTCTGGGCCCCTGGGAGCCTCTTGAAAACTTACATTTGGAGAGGGAGGGTTGCTACAATGGGGTTCTACCATCGTAGGGGGTCCCAGGACAGGGGCTCTGTGCTTAGACCCTGTGGTTAGCCCCTTCAGGGGGAGTTACCAGCGGGACCAATGGACACGGGCCATTTTTTTTTTTTATAGGGGGTGCAGGCATCTTCTGCTGGGTAAATACAGGCACGTGACTGTGCAGGTCACAGTAGTGTGTGTGTGTGTCTGTGTGTGTCTGTCTGTCAGCATGAACCAGCAAGTTTGCTCACCTCTGTGTGCACTCTTTCTCTGTCCCACAAACACCGAGGTCTCTCTGACTAGGGCAGGGTGGTGGAGGACAGTGGGGAGCACGCTAGCCTGGTCTTCTCTCATGGGACTTCAGAGGTAGACAGGGAAGATGGCAAATGGCAGGCTTGAGACAGAAAATACTGGATTTTTACCTTGAGTGTGATGTGTGTCTGTAGGTGTGAACTGGGTCTACACGTGTGTGCTACGCATACTGTCCCTTGAAGCTGCCGCAAGGGTGGGTGGCAGGTGGGCCTCGGCCCAGTGCCTACTGCGGGCAGGACAGGGCCCAGGAGGGCGTGGCCTCTCTCTCTAGGAAACCGTATGTCTCGTCCTAGTCAGAGGCATGGTGGAGACCCGATACAGATGAGGTCAATGTTTAGAAAATGGACCAAACACAGCCACGTGCTTGGGAAAAATAGGTGAACTTCCTGCTCCCAGGTTGCCTCTTGCTTGGTGGTGGTTGTTAAATGTGTCACCAGGATGTCAGGTCTCAGACGTCCTGTGATTGCCCGTCACCTGGCTGATCCTGGCCTCATTTGGACTTTGCTCAGCAATGGCCTCTGTGCAGGTGATAAACGTGCCGCTGGGCACCGGGTTCCATGCCAAGAAGGCACGCCCAGGGCGCTCTCCCGGTTTCTGGTCTAGCCCTGGGTGGGATTCTCCCAGAATCAAGGCCATCTGTGGCTGTGCACTTTGCACACACAAGGGAAAGAGTAGGGAGAAAGTGAAAGTCTTAGCCAGGAGCCAGTGGCTCACGCCTATAATCCCAGCCACTCAGGAAGCTCAGATCTGAGCATCATGGTTCAAAGCCAGCCTGGGCAAGGAACTTCCATGAGACTCTCATCTCCAATAAGTGACTCAAAAAAGCTGGAAGTGGTGCCGTGGGTCAAGTGGAAGAGCACTCACCTTGAGCAAAAGAGGCTCAGGGACAGCACCCAGCCCCAGAGTTCAAGCCCCAGGATTGGCCAAAACAAACAAGAAAGAAAAAGAAAGAAAGTCTTGCTGTGATGAATTTCAGACTTTGACATCTAGGAAGACGTCAGGGTGGTTGACACGTCAGAGGTAGGGGTTGGTCATATCAATCTTGTCGGCTAATGTTACCATCCGACTCTACCTGTCCAGAGAGAGCACTGCAGATGCAAGAGGACCACCCACCGTGGCCTGGAACTGGAAAAGAGCTTCCAGAACATTCCAGAGGTTAGAGGCAGACAAAGGTAGAGTGATCTACAAAAGGTAGATCGCTATCCTTGAGCAAGAAAAGAACAGTGTCCAGGCCCTGAGTTCAAGTCCCTAGACCAAAACACTCCTATCTACCCCCTCTCCCCCCCCAAAATCCTTTCTTTGAAGGGTCAATGCAAGGGATTGGAGCCATACTGTCATGTCTGCTCAGAGCCCCAGCCTGCTTGGTTTGAGGACCAGGCGTCCTGGTTTTTGTATACACCATACATCTTGCTCCTGACTGTATCTCTAACATAGAGGATCATTTCTTGGTACAGGAGCGGGGTACCGGTGGCTCATGCCTGTAATCCTAGCTACTTGGGAGGTTGAGATCTGAGGATTGTGGTTCGAAGCCAGCCCAGCCCAGCCACATCTGATACCCAACAGTGCTGTGGTACCCAAGGGCCTCTGATGCAGCCAGCGGGGGTTGTAGCGCCACCTTGGGGCTGGGAGGAGGGAAGGCATGGTGTTGGCCCCTGCCACCTTTATGTCTCCCTGTGCTATTCTCATGTTTCCATGTATCCCGCACATAGGGAATTACAATGACAGATTCTGGGGCTTGAACTTAGGGCCTGGGTGTTATCTAGCTTTTTCACTCAAGGCTGGTACCTGACCACTTGAGCCACAGCTCCACTTCCAGCTCCTTGGTGGTTAATGGAAGATAGTTTCACAGACTTTCCTGCCTGGGCTTTGAGCTATGATTCTCAGATCTCAGCCTCCTGAGAGGCTAAGATCACAGGTGTGAGCCACTGGTGTTCAGCCGGCCACAATGATAGATTTTTCTTTTTTGCTTTGTGTGGATGTATTAGGAGGACACATTTTAGAGAAATGAATCAGTAGGTAAAGGTGAAGAATGGGATACAAATGTATAATCAATGTCCCAGGCCACTAAACGATACCAAGTCAGGGCCGTGGGAAGCCCTGAGCTGTCCTAGGAGTGGACAGGGTGATCTCGGCCTGGTGAGCACATGGCCAGCCTCAGGGCACCGCTGCCCAAGGCCCACACTGAGGAAGGGGTGGGCTTAGTCCTCTGGCTCTAGCTGCCTGAATTCCCTGCTGCTCACACCCAAATCCCTCTGACCCCGCAGCTCTACAACAATGCCAGTTCTCTTCAGTTCAGGGCTCAAAGTCAAGGTCCTGTGAGTGGAGTAAGGGAAGGTTAGAGCTGGGTTTGATTTCTCCAGGAAGCGATGTCCTCCAGGGACCAGCCGTGAGGCCCAGTTGAATTTCTCCTTTAGAAAATGGGGATAATGACTCTGTGCTCCTTTGGGAGAACATGTCGGCAGCCTTGGACAGTTGTCCCTGGGAGGGGACAGTTACTCACAGCAGGGCAGGGGGCGTGGGTCCTGGCCTTGGCCGTTCTCACCGGCCTTCCTAAGGGAGCTGTCTGTTTTGGTTGTAGCCCAATGGAGGACCGGAGGGGCCCAAGGAAGTCCCCGGCAGCTAGGCGAGCCGGGTCTCTGGACGGGTCACAGGCCCCCCGGAGGGACTCAGAGGCCATGGCCTGTCAGTGCCTCTCCCTGCGCACCACCCCCCGCCAGCGGGCGCTTCGCCGGGTGGCCAGCGATGTGGCCAGATGTTCCGAGAGCCTCACTCTATCTGCAGAGGCCCAGGGCACTGTAGCTGCAGCCTTGGCTCCAGAGGAGATGAAGGAGTTGGTCGCCAGGGAGCAAAGGCCCTCCGAAGACTCCAAGAAGGACAAGGCCCAAGGGTGGGCCCAGCAGGGGTGGATGAAGAGCATTCTGAACTTCCTCCTCCTCAGGACAGGCTCTGAGGAACCCAAAGACAAGACCCATAGGAAGCCTAAGTGGAAGGAGGAGCCCACTGAGCCCTCAGAGGCTGCAGAGGATCCAGCCCTCAGGAAGAAAGCCCAGGACAAGAAAGCCAACCGCAAGAAACACAGGAAACATGATTTTGAAGAAACCCTTGGGGCCCCCAACCAGGTGGCCAGAGGCCACGAGGTTGGGGTAGCTGTGGAGGCTGACCGGGGCTTGGCTTGCAGGGGTGAGCAGACTGAACGGTCCCTTTCCAGACCCCACTGCCCAAGGCCTGGGTGTCTCTCAACAGAGGGGACAGGGAGGTTGGGAATATTTTTCTAACCCAGAGCAGCGCTGTGGCTGAGCACTAGAGATCGAGCCACACCAGACTCCACTGTGGTGGGCTGTGTGGTCTGGGGCTGGGGACTTTCCTCTGGGAGCCTCCATTTTATTATTATTATTCTAATCCACTCAATGGAGATAGACAGTTACTGTGGCAAGGTGTGAGCTGGCCCAACCCTTGCACTGTTACATGCTATTAACTCTCAGGTGCCCGGATGAGGACCGGGAAGTAGGAAGGGGCTGGGATGGGGAACCCTTCCTATCCCATCAGTGATCCATAAATGGCTGCTGCGGTGCTAGTCCTAGACTTGGCTCTAGACTTGGCTCCTTTGGGCCTAAACTTGCAGTAGGGGGTTGTGTGAGTGATTGTTCCCTGTAGCCTTTGGTCCTGAGGTCCTTCTCAGGCCAACTTTGGGGTCCTAGAGTAAAAGTCCTCCATTTGCTGTGGTGCCAGGCGCCAGTGGCTCACGCCTGTAATCCTAGCTACTCAGGAGGCTGAGATCTGAGGATCATGGTTCAAAGCCAGCCTGGGAAAGAAAGTTTGTGAGAATCTTATCTCCAATTAACTATCAGAAAACCGGAAGTGGGTGTGTATGGCTCAAAGTGGTAGAGTGTTAGCTTTGTGTGAAAGAACTCGGGGACAGTGCCCAGGTCCTGAATTCAAACTCCATGACGCCCTGACTTGAGCAGCCCCTTTGCCATGGAAATCTTGGCACGTGTCTGGCGTTTGGGATGGGCAGGGGGGCGGGCAGCAGGCCCGCTGAGCTGTGGGTAACAAGAGTCTCAGGAGAACCACTGACCTGTCTCCTACCTGCTGTGTTCCAGGTGCTCAAGATTCTGATGGCCACCAACCCCTGCCCATCGAAGGGTGCAGTGCTACACTCTTGGACATCTCTCCCCAGGCTTCAGGACCCCAGCCAAAGGAGGACCCCAAAAAGCCTGACCGTGAGTGCCAATCCTCAGAGTCCTTTCTGCCTGCCACCAGGTGGCCATCACCGAATAAGAGCGCTTGCTCTGCGTCATCGCTGAGACCCTGGAGGGTGGTTCTGGTCCTTCACACCTGTCCTGTGGCTTCTGACCACAGATGGCTTCACAGAGGGGAATCTTAGGAACTGAACCGTGTACTGACAAAGGTTCCTGGTCTTAGGTGTTCCTGGTGATAGGATTTTGTTTTCAACCTTTCAGGATTTATATCATTTGAAAATATATAGAAGTGTAAGCCAGACACTAATAAGTTATAAGCCTAGTTACTCAGGAGGCTGAGACCTGGAGCACCACAGCCCAAAGCCAGCCTGGGCATTCCTTCTTGGATTAACCAGCAAAAAGCTGTACTGGACGCATGGCTCAAAGGGCAGGGCACCCGCTGTGAGCAAGGAAGCTGAGCAAGCAAGAGGCCCTGAGTTCAAGATCAAGTACTGGCACAAACCAAGTGTGTGTGTGTGTGGATAGATAGATTAAAAAGTAAATGTGGGTATAGCAGTTCAGTGGTAAGGAGTTTGATTACCATGTAATAGGCCCTGAATTCATTCAGCAACATGGTAAAATAGAATAAGAAAAAAGATATATATAGAAGGAAAGAATAGAAAACACAAAATTACTTTGTGTGTGGTGTGTGGGTGTGTGTGTGCCCGCACACATGCATGTGCACACAGGCATACATGCATGTATGTGCTTGTACTCAGGGACTTGTGCTCTGGCTTAGCTTTTTTTTTTGGTCAGTTGTGGGGCCTGAACTCTGGGCCTGGGTGCTGTCCTTCAGTTCAAGGCTAACACCCTACCCCTTGAGCTACAGTGCCACTTCTGATTTTTTTTCTGCTTATGTGGTGCTGAGGAATCGAACCTAGGGCCTCATGCATGCAAGGCAAGCACTCTACCACTGAGCCACCTTCCCAGCCCTGGCTTAGCTTTTTGACCCAAGGCTGGTGCTCTACTACTTGAATCATACCTTCACTTCTGATTAACTGGAGATACATGACTCATTAACTGTCTGGCCTGGTCTGGCTTTGAATCACACTCCTAGATCTCAGCCTCTTGAGTAACTCAGATTACAGGTGTGAACTACCAGCGTGGCTAATACATACAATTTGTAGCTGCCAGTTTTCTTCACATGTATAATTTGTTGCAGGGCCATTTCATGCTAAAGCGATGCTTCCTTTCTAAACACTTACGCACCTGACCTTAAGCACAGCCTCCTACATAACCACAATACCACTGCGACATCTAATCAATCAATTATAATAATTACTACTATTATTATAATTCTCCATTCCTCCAATTCCCTTGAGAAGAATGGCCATAGTTTACAAGCTAGGAGAGAAGGGATCCATGCAGGTAATGGAAAAGCATTTAGTTTGGTGTTTCTGTAGCTTATTGAGACTTTACAGTTAATTGTTTTCTCCCCTGAGATGGAGTGGAAAGCAGGAATTTAAACAAGATTTGTGGGAGAAGGGGTGGGTGGGTGAGAGGCAGCAGACGGGCCAAGGAGTCTTATTTGCATCTCTTCTTGTGTAAACCTTCAGCCAGCAGCTAGCAGAGGGCAGTTTGGGCACAGTGCCCTTGAATAAGGTTGACTGGGGATCAAAGAAACCATTTCTGTTGTTTGTGGTGGAGGCGCCCTTGGGTCAGCTGTGTCGCAGGCCTGCGACAGCCTTCCCTGTCCCCCTTAGTTAAGTAGCAGGTTGGAAGGGCAGTGTTAGCTCTCCAGGGGTTCCAAGCCCCTTCTCTCATCCCATGATCCTGCAGCCTGGGAGGCAGGCAGGGCCAGGAGGGTCTGCATTTCCCAGGAAAGAAATGAAGGCCCAAATTGGGTTGAGAGGCCACCCAAAGCCCCTCAATCACCAAACCCCAAGTGGATGCCCACAGATTGGCCAGTTTCTTGCATCCAAAGTCATGCTTTGGCTCTGAATCTCCCCCCCTCCCCATTCATCTTCCAAGTCTCTCTGAGATGGGGTTAGTTCCCTCCTGTGGCCTGAGGCAATTTGGGCCTCTCACTTGGTATAAAAGGCCAAGGTTGGGCTAGGCACTGGTGGCTCATACCTGTAGTCCTAGCTACTCAAGAGGCTGAGATTTAAGCATCATGGTAGCCTGGGTAGGAAAGTCCATGAGACTCTCATCTCCAATTAACCATCAAGAAACCAGAAGTGGGGGCTGGGAAGTTGGCTCAGTGGTAGAGTGCTTGCCTTGCATGTATGAGGCCCTGGGTTCGATTCCTCAGCACCACATAAGCAAAAAGAAAAAAGCCGGAAGTGGCGCTGTGGCCAAGTGATAGAGCGCTAGCCTTGAGCTGAAGAGCTGAGGGACAGCGCCCCAGGCCCAGAGTTCAGGACCCCCCCCCCAAAAAAAAAAGAAACCAGAAGTGGAGCTATTGCTCAAGCAGTAGAGTAAAAAACCTAAGGGACTGCACCCAGGCCCTGAGTTTAAGCCTTAGGAGTGGTGTGTGTGTACAAACACATACCTACATCGCCCCCCCCCCCCCCAACCACGATCCAGGCTGGTATGAGAATTGGGGATGGGGTGTGTGTGTTGGAAAACGCTCTGTGCATTTAGGGGTGACAGGTGAGAGTGGCGCGTGTTTAGGGGTGACAGGCGTGGTGCTCTCTTACAGAGGACGCGGTCATCTGGATGATTGTGGAGTTGCTCAAGGAAGTAGGAGACCAGTTGGAGGAGGAGGTGAGGAGCAAGGGGCGGAGCGAGTCCCTCCCCCTCCCCCCTTCCCCCTCCCCCTCCGCCTCCCCCTCCCCGCAGGCTGGGGCCCTCTCCCTGTTGGAACCCCACCTGGCCTTTCAGTCCCTGCTCCCCCTTCCTCCCTTCCCCCGCCCCCCCCCACCTCCTCCTATGCTCAGGGCTCTCCTCACCTGGGCCACTCCTTCCCCTGCCTCAAGATGAGAGGCCTGACTCAGTTTCTCTCTTTTCTCCCCCCAGCAACCACAGATCCCTCAGTTAGAACTGGCTCCACAAAACCGGGGGCCAGCCCTCAGGAAAAAATCTCAAGATAAAAAGTCCAGCCTCAAGAAAGCCTTTTCTCTTAAGAAGCCTGGCTCTGAGGTACCCAGGAGAGCGTGCCCTGCCGACACCGCCAGCCCCGAGGCCCGGCCGCCCAGGAGGCCCAGCTTCCTGCCGCTGTGTGTCGGTGGCCAGCGCCTCTCCTCCTCCAGCAGCCCCGGTGAGTGAGCTGGGCGGGGCTCTGGGCGTTGCCATGGCAACAGGGCAGCAGCCTCCCGCTCTGGACTCTTTCCAGGGTTGGGACTGGCCACGTAGAGGGCACTGGTCCCCATTGGGGCTTTCATGCTTGGCTCTGAGCGATCAGGGGAGGGTCAAGGAATGCCAGCTTGTCACATGTCACTCACGCCACACACACTGGCACCTACACCTTTGACAGGGATGGCACTGAGCTCTCTCTCCAGCCATCCTCCTCTCTGCAGCCTCCACTTCAGAGGCTGGAATATTCAGGAAGGTCCTTCCCCCCATGCCACGGAAGCAGCACCTGCTAGTTATCTTGTAGATCAGGGTTCCTGGGGAGAGGAGAGGGCAGAAGAGAGAGGAAAGCAGCCATGGAGAAGCTCCATCTTGGCTCCTAAACCAGAAGCCAGGCCAGGCCACCGCCCAGCGGGATGGGGGGGATTCCTTTGGTGGGGGGCAGGTGGCCCTAGTGTCCCCTGTTAGGTCAGCACCAGCCGCTGAGCCCACCTAACACGCCCACCCTTCCATTCCACTTCCCAGACACAGAGGGACCTGGAGTCCACGAGGCGCTGTGTGTGGACGGCGAGGGTCCCAGGGCCCCTGAGCTTCCCTGCCAACACAAACACCAGGGAGCCGACGAGGAGCCGCCGCTGGACAGAGCCGCCGAATCCAGTCAGTACCCCTCCTTTCCTCAAAGGTCTTTTGCAAGAAGAATCGGGGAGAGGCAGCGTGTGGAGACCTCTCTCTGGGAGCTGCAGGCAGCTCAGGGCCACCACCTCTCCTGTCTGAGCCTCAGTTACCCACACTGCTGGCCTCCGTGAGGCAGACCTCTGGTGATGACGTGGGGGTGGGGCGCTGCCTGTGGCGAGGCCTCTGGAGATGGGGTGCTCTGTAGGGCCTGGGTCTCAGTGTGAGCTCATGTGAACACAGGCAAGTCACTTCGTCCCTGGACTGGCCGTAGTTTCCTCATCTGCAAGATGGGGACCATCTTCCTAGGGTTGCTGGAGATACTCAAACAATTAAGGCCTTCCAAGCACCTAGGGCAGTACTGGCTAGAGGCTGGTTTAACAAGTACTAACCAGTAGCAGGGGTGAAGTTCTGATCAGGACCCTCGGGGCCCCCAGGGAGCCATGTGGCATAGAAGAACTTCACTGAACACTCTGCTCTTGTGTGTGTGTGTGTGTATGTGAATGTATGTGTGTGTATATGTACAGATCTTGGGGTTTTGAACTCAGGGCCTGGACACTATTCCTACACATTTTGGCTCAAGGCTAGCACTCTACCACTTGAGCCACAGTTCACTTCCGGCCTTTTTTTTTTTTTTTTGTAGTTAATTGGAGATAAGAGTCTCACAGACTTTTCCTGCTGGGGCTGCTTCCAACTATGATCTTCAGATCTCAGGAACTGGGATTACAGGCATGAGCCACCAGTGGGCATCTGACTAACACTGTGGTCTTTTGTAGGAGAATTCATGCAGAAGATCCTTGCCCTGCTGCAAGATGCCGAGGAGCTGGAGGGGGAGCAGGTGGGGAAGTCATTCCCAGAGGCCCCTGTCCCTCTCTTGGGACCCCCACAGTACCCCTCCCCATCTCCCCTCTTTCCTAAGTCTCCCCCCATCTCCCCCCCCCCTCCCGCCGCCAGACTTCACACATCCCTTCACACATCCCCAGTGCCCAATTCCATCTCCAGCCAGGTCACACCTTCTAGCCCAACTGATAATTCCTCAAAGCCAGAGAACTTGACTGTTTCTCTTTTCCCTTCCAGCAACCTCAAGCCCCGGAGGCAGAATTGGCTGTAGAAAAGCTGGCCCCAGCCTGCAGGAAGAGGTCCCAGGAGAAGAAGTCCAGCCTCCGGAGAGCCTTTTCTCATAAAAAACATGGGTCCAAGGAGCCCAAGAGAGGGAGTGCTGCTGACACCGCCAGCCCCGAGGCCCGGCCGCCCAGGAGGCCCAGCTTCTTGCCCCTGTGTGTTGGTGGCCACCGGCCCTCTATCTCCAGTAGCTCAGGTGAGCAGGCTGGCCCCGGGTTACCATAGTAACACAGGTTTCCCCTCCGGTCACTGTGGTGTTATTTACTTATATTCTCCCAGTACTGAAGCTTATACTCAGGGCCTGGGTGCTGTCCCTTTTGCTCAAGGCTGGTGCTCTACCACCTGAGCCACAGCTCTACTTTAGGTTTTTGGTAGTTAATTGAAGATAAGATTCTCATAGATTTTCCTGCTTGGCTGGCTTTGAACTGCACCTCGAGCCTCAGATCTCAGCCTCCTGAGTAGTTAGGATTACAGGTGTGAGCTACTGGCACCCTGCCACAGCCACCTTAAGTTTGGGCAGAGTGGGGGAAGGGCCTCTGTTTTGCGGCACTGAGGAGTGAGGACTGTGGTAGTTGATGATCCTGACATTTATGTAGTGCCTGCTGTATGCTGCTGTGAGGCCCGGCCCGGGATGCCCAGGGCCTATGACGGTCAGACCAGCCACTTCCCCTTCGGCTGCATGGCTCACTCGGTCTCTTGCTTTCTAACTGCTCCATGCCACGCTGGGAGGAGGCAGAGGGTGCAGAGCTCTGTGACCCTTCTGAGGTGGGGCAGGGCTGGGAACCCCGGATCTGAGTCAGGTGGAGAGCCATCAGTTCTCTCGTCCTCAGATGCAGAAGGCTTGGAGACGTGGGCCACAGAAGCCGGACCACCTGGGGTGTCAGAGACCCCCTCCAGGACCAGAGGCCACACGCCAGATCGGGGACCTCAGCCAGAAGGAACCTGGGATCCTAGTTAGTATCTCCTTCCTCACCCCTGGCACAGCGTCCTGGGGCCTTTCTTCGGCACAGATACCATGGACTGAGGAACTAGTAGCTCCAGGGGGAAGCTGAAGGGCAGCTGCAAATACTCCGGAGAGAGGAGGGGCAGGGGCAAGGGCTGGGACATGAACCCCCCTTTAATGAGGGGACTGCAGGGCAGAGCTGCAGCTGAGAGTGTTTCTCGGGCAGGGCAGAGGAGGCTGTGCATTCTGTAAGTGCCGATCTGACCGCCCACACTGGTTTCCTCTAAAATCCTAGCTTGATCTGCCCTCATAGTCAGTGGCTATGAGGCTAGCCAACTAGCCTGGGGCCGGGGAAGGAAGCCCCAGTGTGTAGCATCTGTAGAACCCAGTGCTGTGATCTCAAGCTGCCCACACTTGGCGATGCCCGCTGCAAACAGGCAGGCCCCTCACCTGGGCCAGTACCTGTGGCCATGGTGTGTGTCCCCCTCGCCTCTCAGTTAACTGCCCTGGGTCCAAACCACCACTGCTGACATGGGCAGGCCTCAGTTTCTCATCAGGAGCCCCAGGTGGACCCGATTATTGCTGCATAGCCATCCCAAATGAAGCTCTCCTGCGCTGCTGAGTTGTGACAGGAGCATGCGCTGTTGGGGCATTCCGTCATGGGGGGCTGGCATCACCCCGTGCGCAGCCCCTCATCTTTCTTTCTTTCCCCAGAGGAGCTGCTCATCTGCAGGCTGGTGGTGCTCCTCCAGGAAGTGGATGGCCAGCTAGGGAAGCAGGTGAGTTCTTGGCCCGCTCGGGGGGCCCACCCACATGTCACCTACCCACTCCCCACCTCGATTAAGTCCAGGTCCCCACTTTGTTCCTCAACCTCCCCTGGGAATTCTTTTGCAAAATGAGGGACAAGAGTTTCTAAAAGAGCACAGTGTTTGCAGAGCTTCTCCACCAGCTCAGGCCTTTGCACGGCCTGAATCTGCAGCTCAGCTCACATCCCAGTGCCCTGTACCCCCAGCCCCTTGGAGCTCCCCCTCAGTCAAGCCTGTGGGCCGGACCCTTTAGCATGTGGGTCTCTAGTTCTTTTGTTGGCCAGGGTTGGACTTTGATCTCAGGGCCTCACATTTGCAGGCAGATACTCTTGTCACTTGAACCCCAGCCCCAGCTCTTTTGTTTTAGATATTTTTTCAGATAGGGTCTCAAGCTTTTGTCCTGACTAGTCTTGGACTGCAATCCTCCTACAACTGCCTCCCAAGTAGCTGGGATTACAGGTATACACACCACACCAGGCTCTAGTTCGTTTAGTGTGTGGATTGTCCTTCTCTCTGCTCGAAAAACAAAAACAAACACCCAGTCTCCCTAGAGAGACACATACAGGACAGGTCCTATCTGAAGGCGGGGTGTCAGTACCCATCTTCACCTCCCGTTCAACCCCTAGTCACCAGCATCTACATCCCTTTGCCTGAGGAACCAGAGTAAAATTAACCAGGCAAAATCAGAACTTCCCTAACCGCCTCCACCAGTTTCTGGTTGAAGACCCCAATGGCTGTGTTGAAGACCCCAGCCCGTACGCCTGGAGGCACCCAAGCCACCTGTGTGGCTGTTTTCCCACCCCGTCCTAGGTTCCATGGTTCAGGGATCACACAACATCTAAACCACCTGTACCAAGTTCCTGCCTCTGGTCTGCCTGGGCGGGGGTGGGAGGGGCCTCAGGGCGAGAAATGAAACTCATTGGGTGTTTCGCATGGACCATCCCCACTGCAGTCCTGGGGGAGGGGATTTCACCTCCATTTTACAGAGGGCCAGGCAGAGGCTCGGAGCGTTCACTCTAGAAGTGCAAGCCGTGTGCGGTGCTGACCTACCTCTGTCCACCTCATCCTGGTGCTGAGGGCTGGACTTGGCACACTGGGTTCTGGGTGGCGGTGGGTAGAACGCACCTATCCCAGGGCTGCGAGGCGCCGGCCTGGCTGCACAGAGTGTGTGTGTGTGTGTGTGTGTGTGTGTGTGTGTGTGTGTGTGTGTGTGTGTGTGTGTGTGTGTGTGTGTGTGTGTGTGTGTGTGTGTGTGTGTGTGTGTGTGTGTGTGTGTGTGTGTGTGTGTGTGTGTGTGTGTGTGTGTGTGTGTGTGTCGGGGGAATGGGGGACGGCACTAATGGCCTGCCTTCATTGCTGCTTCCAGATCCGGCGCCACCCCAGCTTTAAGAAGTTTTTTCACGAGTTCTCGGACAGCTCCCTCAAGAAGCTCGTGACCACCCTGCAGAGGCAGCAAGGCCGCTCCTCCGAGGGCGCTGGCCGCGTGGCCAGACCCTCCCCTTTTGCTTTTGACCTGATGAATCAGCTGACCAGCCACCAGAGCCGAACCATCTGCAGCCTCATGGGCTCCAGGGGGCACTGTAGTGGGCACAACTATGCCCAGTTCCCCACCAGGGAGGCCCAGCCGGTGAGAGGGGCAGGGAAGGGGCCCGACCTGAGGGGCCACGGGCCGTGGGGCATCTTCTCCCGTCCTCTGCTCCATCTGCACTGTTAGGGTTTGGTTCCAACGCCGCCTCCTCATGAGGTCCTGGGGACAATTCTAATCAGCAGTGACATTGTTCTCTTCCCTCCCCCCCCCCCCCCCCAAAGCACGCTGGCTTTGCCCCATACTGCTGCATTTTCTTTCTTCAGCTCTGCTCGCCAATCTTAGGTCCATTTTCACACGCTGACATCTGCATAGAAGCAGACTCTGCGAACACGCATTTCACTCATCACCAGATTTCAAGGGCTCTGCAGCTTAGCTTCCCCGCCACCTCCCCCCTCCCCTTTTATTGCCAGTCCTGGGGCTTGAACTCAGGGCCTGGGCACTATCCCTGAGCTCCTTTTGCTCAAGGTTAGCGCTCTACCACTTGAGGCACAGTGCTACTTCTGGCATTTTCAGTGTATGTGGTACTGAGGAATTGAGCCCAGGGCTTCATGCATGCTAGACAAGCCCTAAGCCACATTTCTGTATGTAGGAGGTGCCCTGAGACCAAGGCCTTCCTGCCAGGTCCCCATCTCTTGGAACACCTCTGCCTCCCTCTTCAGAAATAATTTCTGGAAGCATCTGGAGACATCTTCAGAGAGCTGGCTGACTGCCTAGAGTTGCATCTCCCCAGCACTCTGTTCATCCCTGGCATATTTTGAGGGTGGGAATTGCACGGGACCTCAATGCTCTTAGCCTCACTGTCCTTTCTTAGAGCTGAGGACATGAGCCTTCTTTGTCCCCTGGTGCAGGTTAGCTAATCGCTTAAGGAGTGATCTAAGATCTTTATAAAAGATAGTATGAGCCTGAGCCAGAGGCTGCATGCCTGGAATCCTAACTACTCAGGAGGCTGAAATCTGAGAATGGCAGTTTGAAGCCAAGAATGTCCGTGAGCCTCTTATTTCCAATTAATCACTAAAAGCTGGAAGTGGAGTTGTGGCTCAAGCTAAGGGATCGGTGTCCAGGCCCTAAGTTCAAGCCCCAGTACTGGCGTGCGCAGGAATACACACACACAAACAAACACGAACATAAACACTAGTTCCAGACCCTCCTCTCCTGTCCTGTCTCCCCCCTCTGGCAAGCTCCCAGAAATGCTGGCTTTGACCAGTAAGGACCCTAGGAAGGATGACAGTCCCCTGTGGGCACAGGAGCAGAGGCTGGAGGTATAGCTAGTGCTGGGCATTAAACAACCTGCTCTGTGTGTGTGTGTGTGTGTGTGTGTGTGTGTGTGTGTGTGTGTGTGTGTGTGTGTTTGTGTGTGTGTGTGTGTGTGTGTGTGTGTGTGTAGCTGGTGGCACAAATCAGTGGACTATGGCTAAAACCTGTCTTCTCTTTCTCTTCCCAGAAGATCACAAATCTGGAGAGTATTCAAAGTCCAGACTGAAGGCTGCATCTTGTGCTCAAGTTCCCTTGGCAGCTTTGGCCAGGAGCCCTGAAAGGGGTCCCACAACATCCCAGCCCTGGGCTTCCCAAACACGCCTGGAGACGGAGCGGACAGCATGTATGCACACGTTGAAGTCGCACACCTTCTACAAGCTGGACACAGAGGCCATGCTGGGGGGTGGGGGGGAGCAGGGGACCAGGCTTACCTGCCTCTGACTGGTGGCCCCTGACCGGTGGCACAGCTTGTGTACCACTCTGCCTGTGCAGACCTGCCATTCAGCTGTCCTGAAGAGCACTCGCTGACCTGTCCACAGCTGTTTGCTCGAAATGAGGCTTCGTTGTAGAAGTAATATGTGTCTGTGCGCATGCGTACACACTTGACTTCAGGGCCTATCCTTTTACCTTTTTTTTTCCTTTTTTTCTTAATGGCTACCACTTGAGCCACACTTCCACTTACTTTTTTTTTTTTTTGTCAGTTATGGGGCTTGGACTCTGGGCCTGGGCACTGTTCCTCAGCTCTTCAGCTCAAGGCTAGCACTCTACTACTTGAGCCACAGGGCCATTTCTGGTTTTCTGGTGGTTAATTGGAGATAAGAGTCTCACAGACTTTCCTGCCCAGTCTAGCTTTGAACTGTGATCCTTAGATCTCAGCTTCCTGAGTAGCTAGGATGACAGGCGTGAGCCACCAGCATCTGGCTTCCACTTCCTTTTGACTTTTCTTTTTTTGCTGGTTCCTTTCATTGGAGACAGAATCTCATTGTTTTTTCTGCTCAGGCTAGCTTTGAACCGAGATCTTCAGATTTCTGCCTCCTGAATAACCAGGATGGCAGGTGTGAGCCACCCACGCCTGGCTCAGCCGCTTTCAGAGCTTGACTCACGTGGGCAATTGACTTCCCATCCCTTTGCTGCCAGCCATGTGTAGCTCGAGGGGCTGTGGACAAACTTGCGATTCCCTTTGACCATTGTCTGGAGCCTGTGGGCCTGGGAACTGGGTACTGGTTCTTATAGCTGTGGAGCTCTGGTCCTGGATACCTGGTGGGGGGTGGTCCCAAACTTGAGGTGATGTTTCAGAAGTTCAGCTTCCCAGATTCTGAAGAGCATGAGGTTTTCCTTGTTGCTTCTGAGAAGCCGGAGCAGTGAGTTGTCTATGAATTTGTTTCTGCCAGTATTCAGGAATCTGGCATGGACAGGGCCAAAGTCTTTTTGTTTTCTTTTAAATAAGTTTTTTATTGTGAATATACTGTACAGAGGGGTCACAATTACATGAGCAAGGTAATGAGTACATTTCCCATCAAGCATTGCTGCCTCCTTCTTTGTTTTTCTCCTACCATCCCTTCCCTCTCATCTCCACAACTACACTCCCCCCCCCAAAAAAAAGTTTGTTTTTCAACATAGCGTCTTGTACATTTCATTGTTGCAATGGGTCAATCTGTATCCCTATTTAAACAATTTGTTTTTTCCCTTCCCCTCCCCAAATTATACCAACATCAAATATAGTGAAAACGGGTTATACTGTGGGCGAGGGACATACAAAGCAACCAAAAAATCATGTGGTACCTTATAAATACGTTAGAAACAATCACAAGAAAGAAAAAACCACTTGTGTCCTTATGTTAACATCATCTTATCTGACCTTTTCTGCTTGTCTCAGCCATATACTAATTATTGCAAATAAGGGAAACCATGGAACCTATGTTTGTTTGGGCCTGTTTTACTTCACTTAATATAATTTTTTCCAAGTCTTTCCACTTCCTAACAAATGGGGCAATGTCATTCTTTCTGATGGAGGCCAAAGTCTTTTGTACATAGTTTTTATTTGGAGGGATGCGTCTTTGGTGGTGAGAGTATTTGGTAGGAGTTCCTGATGCTGGCATCTGAGTCTCTTTTTTTTTTTTGTACTATTATTTGAACAAATAAAGAAATTAACATGCAGGTAGAGCTGTGGTGTGGAATATTCCAAAGAAGGTGAGACCCTGCTGTGTTCCTCATCTGAGACAGCCTGCTACCTTCCCGTCCCTGCCTGGGGTCCTCACTACCCTCTCCAGGTGTCCGTTCTGTAGGTAACAACTTGTTAAGGGTCTAGGCTGGGTGTCAGGAGGCCTAGATCTTAGTTCTGCCATCCCCTGGTGAGCGATGATCTGAAAGATGAGACAGTTGTCCTCCGGATCTAACTTCTACAACTCTGTGACTCTCAAGAGTGAGTCATACCAGTTCCTGGTATGTCTGGGGAAAATCCAGATTTTTCTTCCCCTCTCCCTCCCTCCTGGGGTTTGAACTCAGAGCCTTGCACTTGCTAGACAAGTTCTCTACCACTTGAGCAAGTAGGATCTTGCATTTTTTGTCTGACCTCAGATGAAGACTCTCCTACTTAAAATCTCCCAGGTAGAACTGGATGACAGCTGTCAACTGTGACACTTGGCTTGTTTGTTGAGATGCAGGCTCAGGTTTGCTTAGGCAGGTCTTAAACCACAATCCTCTCAATCTCCATCTGCCAAGTATCTGGGATTATAGCTCTGAGCCACTGTCTCCTTCCTTCCTTCCTTCCTTCCTTCCTTCCTTCCTTCCTTCCTTCCTTCCTTCCTTCCTTCTTTCTTTCTTTCTTTCTTTCTTTCTTTCTTTCTTTCTTTCTTTCTTTCTTTCATCAGTTGTGGGGCTGAACTCTGGGCCTGGGCGCTGTCCCTCAGCTCTTCAGCTCAAGGCTAGCGCTCTACCACTTGAGCCACAGCACCACTTCTGGCTTTTTCTGCTTCTTGGTGCTGAGGAATCGAACCCAGGGCCTCATGCATGCAAGGCAAGCACTCTACCACTGAGCCACCTTCCCAGCCCCACTGTGACGTCTTAGTCCTAAATTTTGGTGTACCAGGATAAGATCGCCAGACTATAGTACCAGACTTTGGGCGCAGAAAATTGTCTCTCCCTCAAATTCGACCCACAGTACTGCCCCCCCCAAAAGAAACAACCCCAACAACAACAAAAGACATCATGATACAATTCACCTAATTCCCTCCCATGGACAAGGGAGAGAGGACGGGGTCGGCAGGGCCCCAGCTCAGGCCAGGGACAGCAGTTATGGGTGGCTGTGCTTGGGGCCTGTGGCTGGCCTTCCATGAGCACCAACAGGACGGCCCCTTCCAAGGCTCAGTGCTGGCTACAGGGACAATGGTTCTAGACGGGGGATTTGGAAAGGAGAGTAGCTGAGCCCTGGTGGCTGCAATCCTAGCTACTCAGAAGGGCTGAGATCCTGTGGGTGGAGGTTTGAAGTCAGCTTGTGTAGAAAGATCCACAAGACTCCCAATTCCAACTAACCAGAAAAAATCTGGACTAGAAACTGGGTGCTGGTAGCTCATGCCTGTAATCCTACCTACTGAGGAGGCTGAGATCTGAGCATCACAGTTCAAAGCCAGTCTGGGCCCGAAAGTCCGTGAGACTCTTCAGAAAACTGGAAATAGATCTGTGGCTCAAAGTGGTAGAACACTAGCCTTCAGCTGAAGAGCTCAGGGATAGCACCCAGGCCCTGACTGAGTTCAAGCCCCACAACCAAAAAAGTATCTGGACTGTAGACATGCCACAAGTGATAGAGCTCCCGCCAAATAAGCCAAGCAGCGGGAAGCCATGAGTTCAAGCCCTATTAAAGAAAGAGGAGAGAGACAGAGACAGAGAGAGAGATAGACATACGGAGAGAAAGGAAAAAGGAATGGATTTGGGTGATAAATAAAAATGCAGGCTGCTCCAGCTGAATGTGAATTTCGGATAAAGAATTGCAAATATGGGCTGGGAAGGTGGCTCAGTGGTAGAGCGCTTGCCTTGCATGCATGAGGCCCTGGGTTCGATTCCTCAGCACCATATAAGCAGAAAAAAAAAGCCAGAAGTGGTGCTGTGGCTCAAGTGGTAGAGCGCTAGCCTTGAGCTGAAGGGCTGAGGGACAGCGCCCAGGTCCAGAGTTCAGGCCTCATGACCAGACCCAAAAAAAAAAATTGCAAATATTAGGGACATATTTCTACCAAAGTATTCAGTGTTTATCTGCAATCAGAAATGAACAAGATGTCTTGTATTTTATCTGACAACCCCAGGGCTAATTGAAACACAATGTCCTAGTTACTTCAAAACAAGGGGAATGAACAGAAGCGATGGGGAATCTGGGTAGGATTTAGTGATGCTGGGAGGCGCGCAGGCTGGAAAGTGGGCTGGGGGAAGACAGCCATCTTTACTAAGTTCACCCTCACTGCATGCGAGGGGAGGAAGTCTTCCAGAGTCCCGGGTCATGCGAAGTCTACTTTCCCTGTGGATTAGGGGTCCCAGCTTCTGTGAGCATCCAGGCTGTTCCTTGGTGGCCCAGACAGCAGCTCCGGGCCCAGCCTCCCCCACACCAGCCTCCAGGGCCACCCTGTGTGGGCCTGGGTTACAGAACCAACCCTAGTGGGTGGAGGCTGCAGGTCACCCAGGGCCTTGGATGGTCTCAGGCCTCTCAAAGGCACATTTGTTGTTGTTCTCTGAAATGGTGGTGAAATGCAGGCTCCCGACCCACGTGGCTTTGCACCTGTGGCACTAGCTGCCCGCCACCTGTGGCTCTGGTCCTTGTGGGATTTGTTAAGCAAATGTGTCTGGAGCCTGCGGGCACAGCCGGGCTGGGCTGCCATGCGGGGCCTGGCCAGGCAGCCTCCTCTCTGGAGGGATGTGGGGCAGACACACTGGGGGGTGAGTGTGTCTTTCTCAAGGGCCATTTTCCCTGCGGTATAGACACCAGGCAGAGCCTGCCCTCAGGGGTGCTGGGGTTGGGATGCGGGGCTTCCCAGTTCCCAGACTTGAGAAGTCCAGTGGCACCCCATACAATCCCCAAGGCCTAGGCTGGGTGCCAGACCCCCTCCATCAAGCCGTCCTGGGGGCATCTTGGGTGCGGTGGGGCCAGGGAATCTGAGGTGCCCTTAGCCCAGTTGGAGAATTAGCAAGCAAATGAAAACACATTGTCTCTGGATGTGACAGGAAATGGAAAAGGATCCAGGGTTCTTCTGTCCTGCTGGACCCTGGGTCTCCCCGAGGACTGGATCCTGTGTGGAGTTAGGAGCCCCTGGCCTAGGCTGCCCAGAGGGGCTGCTGGTGGGGACATCCATCTGTCCATCAGTCTGTCCAGAGCAGACTGTCCAACAGGGAGACGCTAAGCCCAGGAGCAGCTAGGCCTTCTGCACCCTCCACTGGGTATGGGGAGGGGGCACTGGAGGAGGCCTGAGGGCAGAGGATTATCGAGGCTGGGCCTGTGGCCCGCAGATTTGCACCTACTGCAGGCTTCTTTCTGGGGCCACTGCTTCTTAGGAAAAGGACATGGGGTCGTGGGTTCTCAGCTCCTCCCCTACCTAGGGCTCCCCTAATTTCCTTCAGGGCCTCACCCCCTGGGGCAGCCCTGAGCAAGCTGAATATCCCATAATTGCCAATCAGACTTAGATGGAAGTTGGAAAGCTGAGAATGTATCAGAGGCAAGATGGAGGGGCCTCACTTTATTATTCCAGCGTTCTCTCCTCTTCAGAAAATGGAATTCTGGAAAGTGATGAAAGGGGCTTTGAATTATTTGGTTTATAGAACTTAGCTGGTCTATGGGCTTTCAGGAAGGGGTAGGGCTGCAGAGTCTCCACACCTCTGAGTGTACAGTCGGGTGGATGGTGCTGCCCTACGTGTAGATGCAACCTGTAGTCCCAGCTACTCGGAAGGCAGAAGTAGGAGGATCGAGGTCTGAGAGGTGGGTCCTAGGCAAACGTGTAAAACCTTTCCTGAAAAACAAACTAAAAGCTAAAGGACTGGGGTGCAGGAGGCCCAAGTGGTCGAGCTCTTGTCTGAAGCGCGAGGCTTGAATTCCATCCCCACTATTGAACAAAAATGAGTATGGCGGCAGAGAAAGGGCCTGGGCTCTCAGAGCTGTGTGACCAGGCACAAGTCTTGTTCTAACACAATCAAGATAACCATTTTTCCAGCTGTGTTCCTGGTCCACAAGGGGCTGCACTACTGTTAGTAGCCATGAAGCCAGATGGCAGACCCAGGGGTCACCGCAACAGCCTGGCCTCAGGGGGCACCTGAGGCCTCCACCTCCGGGCAGCGGTATTCCTGGATCCGGCGGGGATGAGGCCTGTAGGTGACCCATACTGTCTCGGAAGTGGAGAGCAGGGGGCAGTCACACGGCCGGGGAGCTGACCTGGATGCGAGAGACAAAGAAAGAGCAAGCGTGGATTTTTGTTCAGTTTCAGACTGTGAGTGTGGCGGGGACAGGGGAGTGTGGAGGGGAGAGGGGAGTGTGGGAGGTCCCTTCATTCCCTAGTGGGCATGGAAAACAGGGGATGGCTTTATAACATTCATAGAAACTCTCCCAAAGCACAGGCCTCTTGAACCTGGTAATGGCAACTCTAGAAATACACAACCAGGGGGCTGGGAAGGTGGCTCAGTGGTAGAGCGCTTGCCTTGCAAGCCTGAGGTCCTGGGTTCGATTCCTCAGCACCACATAAGCAAAAAGAAAAAAGCCGGAAGTGGCGCTGTGGCTCAAGTGGTAGAGTGCTAGCCTTGAGCTGAAGAGCTGAGGGACAGCGCCCAGGCCCAGAGTTCAGGGCCCATGACCGGACCAAAAAAAAAAAAAATACACAACCAGATGTGCGCCTGCTGTGTTCATGGAGATATTGAGCAGAAGGTTAGAAATACCGGAAGATACTGAAAAATAGCCAGGTGCCAGTGGCTCACGCCTATAAACCTAGCTACTCAGGAGGCTAAGATCTGAGGATCACGGTTCAAAACCAGCCTAGGCAGGAAAGTCAGTGAGACTTTTTTTGTGTTTTTTTAAATCAGTCATGGGGCTTGAACTCTGGGCCTGGGTGCTGTCCTTCAGCTCTAAAACTTTTATCTTCAATGAACCACAAAAAGCTGGAAGTAGAGCTGTGGCTCAAGTGATAGAGCACTAGTCTTGAGCCCAAAAGCTCATGGAGAGAACCAAGGCCCAGAGCTCAAACCCTAGGACAGGAAGACAAACAAGCAATCAAATAAACAAACAAAATTAACTCCAGAAAAGTATTCCCCAAAATATTAACATCAAGCTGGAGGGGTTTCCAGTAATTTTTTTCTATTTATGTTCTTCTAAATTTGAAGATTTTTTTTTTTTTTTACCAAAAGTGTATGCTGTTTTTCATTGTATATTTTATTATTGCGCTTTTTTATTTTTTAAAAATTGGGGCTAAGAAGGTGGCTCAGTGGTAGAGTGCTTGCCTTGCATGCATGAAGCCCTGGGTTCAATTCCTCAGTACCCACATACACAGGAAAAGCCAGAAGTGGTGCTGTGGCTCAAGTGGTTGAGTGCTAACCTTGAGCAAAAGAGGCTCAGGGACAGTGCCTAGGCCCTGAGTTCAAGCCCCAGGACTGACAAAAAAAATTTCAACTTTTTAGGTTGTTATAATAAAGATGATGTACAGAGGGGTTATAATTGCATAAGTCAGGTAAAAAGTACATTTCTTTTTGGATAATGTCAACCCCTCCCCACCCCCCCCCCCTCCCAGTTTTTCCTTCCTGTCTCCACCCACAAGTTGTATTGTTCATTTTCAACATAGTGTCCCCTGGAGTACCACTGCTACATTGGTTCACCCTCTGTCCTTCCATTGTGGTGCCCCTCTCTTACTCTCCCCCAAACAGATAAAAGAACAAAGAAGACAAAAACAACAGAAAAAAACCCTCTTGTTTCCATTTCTTGGAGTTCATTTCAATAAATATTTTATATGATCAGAGGTACAGAAGCATTAGACCTTTGTGTTTCTCCTCTAAGAATATCCTCCTTTGGTCTCAGTGTGTGGGGTGTATGCTGTTTTTAGAACCAGAAAAAGCAATAAAGTTACTTATCCTGTAGACAACCAGGTTTATAACAACAAATAAGTGGATAATGTTTCTTTAAGGGACAGATGCTGAGCTAAAGTAGAGATTATGGGCTGGACATGGTGATTCACACCTGCAGTCCCTGCTACTCCTGACACAGAGAGAGTTCTATCTGAGCTAGTCCAGGCAAAAGGTAGAGAGAGAGCCTTAAAAAAAGAAAAAAAAAGGCTTCTGTTATTTATTTATTTAGCCAGTCCTAGGACTTGAACTCAAGGCTTGGGCCTTGTCCCTGAGCTTCTTTTACTCGAGGCTAGCAGAACTTCTGGCTTTTTCTGAGTGGTTTATTGGAGATGAGAGTCTCACAGACTCTCCTGCCCAGGCTGACTTCTGGCTAACTTCGAACAGCGATCCTCCTATCTCTGCTTTCTGAATAGCTAGGATTACAGGCGTGAGCCACTGGTACTGGTTATGACTGCTCTTCTTGAATGGTCCGATAGCACCTGCACTAAATTCTCACTGGTAACCTCTTCCCCCCCCACCCCCCCCCCAGCTTCTTGCAGATCAGGAAATGGAGGTTCAGAGCAACTAGGTGTTCTGAGCATCTGCTCCAAATGAGTCTGCCAGAGCAGGGGCTGATGCCAAGGCCTGGTGCCTTTCCCCCCTCCCTCCTGACTCTCTTATACATCCTGGCATGTTCCAGAAGACAGGTCCCAGTGCTCCCCCTGGGGAACTTAGACCAAGGGAGTCATGCTCACTGTGCTTTGCTGCCTGTTTTGGGGAACCGCGGATGCCGGGGGATGCATTTCCTGGTGCCACTGGTCTTCTGTTTGTTCTTCTGGAATACCTTGCTCACCCAGTTGGCATCGGCAGCAGCGCTCACCCTGTGCACAGAGATGATGTAGATGGCTTGTGAACAGCGCATGGGCCAGAGCCAGGCACACCAGCGCCGCCTGAGCATGAATGAGCTCCCCAGCGATTCTCAACGAACGGGTACCCAAGTAACAGCAGACCCCACAGCTGGGTTGCAATGACCCGACAGCTGGGTGGGAATCTATACTGTTCTGCACAAATTCATAAGAACACAGCACAGAACGGTGTGAAATCTAACAGGCTAAGCCCCACAATTCCTTTTTTTTTGGTGCTGGTACTAAGTAAGGCTTAAACACTCCACTTCGCTTTTGTTTGCTCAAGGCTGGTGCTCTACCACTTGAGCCACAGCTCCACTTCCGGATTTTCAGTGGTTTGAAGCTATTGATATGCTCTGTTTTGTTTTTGTTTTTTGGGGGGGGGGTTGGTCATGGGGCTTGAACTCAGGGCCTGAGCGCTGACCTTGAGCTTTTTCACTCAAGTCAAGCACTCTGTTTGAGCCACAGCACCACTTCCAGTTTTCTAGTGGTTTATTGAAGAGTCTCATGGACTTTCCTGCCCTAGCTGGCTTTGAACTGCGATCCTCAGATCTCAGCCTCCTGAGTAGCTAGGATGACAGGCGTGAGCCACCAGCCCCTGGCTTGTGAAAGTCTTATCTCCAATTGATTGTCAAAAAGCAGGAAGTGGAGCTAAAGTGGTTGAGCACTAGCTTTGAACATAAAAGCTCAAGGACAGTGGCTGGTTCAAGCCTCAGGACTGAGGAGAGAACGAGAGGGCGAGGGGGAGAAAGTCTCACTTAGCCGTCCCTCCCCTGACCCTAGGAGCAGAGGCAGAGCAGCTTACCTGGCCTGACTTTCGCGGCTGGCTTCCTTCCCCGGGACGGGAGCAGGGGTGGCACTTTTTGAATGTGAAGACGCTCGGGATGCTGCAGCCAGAAGGAAAATCCAAGGAGTGTGAGATGGGGTGGGGAGGTGGTTGTCATTTCAGAGGAATGAGCAGTGTGACTGTGCACAAGAACAGTAAAGAACTGGCGGGTAGGTTGTCAGGGGTGAGCCCAGGGCAGCAGCTGGGAAGGACAGAGCTCCTTCCTATGGGCAACACAGGAGCGAGGTGAGGAACACGCCCTGCAGAGGCCCCAGCTCCCACCGGAGGCTGCGGGAAGGCTGCTTTTTTCCTCTTGAATGCTTGTTTAAAAAAAAGTGTAGGGGGCTGGGAAGGTGGCTCAGTGGTAGAGCGCTTGCCTTGCATGCATGAGGCCCTGGGTTCAATTCCTCAGCACCACATAAGCAAAAAGAAAAAAGCCGGAAGTGGCGCTGTGGCTCAAGTGGTAGAGCGCTAGCCTTGAGCTGAAGAGCTGAGGGACAGTGCCCAGGCCCAGAGTTCAGGCCCCACAACCGGACCCCCCCCCCCCCCCCGCCAAAAAAAGTGTAGTCAGCCAGGCACCGGTGGCTCAAGCCTGTAAACCTAGCTCTCATGAGGCTGAGATCTGAAGATCAAGGTTCAAAGCCAGCCTGGGCAGGAAAGTCTGTGACACTCTTATGTCCAATGAACCATCAGAAAACTGGAAGTGGTGCTGTGGCTCAAGTGGTAGAGCACTAGCCTTGAGCTGAAGAGCTGAGGGACAGCGCCCAGGCCCAGAGTTCAAGCCCCATGACCAAAACAAACAAAAAAAAACCCTCAAAAAACAGAGAATATCAATAGCTTTATAACCATTGTCCTCTCTCTCTCTCTCTCTCTTTCTCTGCCTCTGTCTGTCTCTCTCCATCCCTCTGGGCAGTACCAAGGCTTGAACTAAGAGACTCATGCTTGTTCAGCTTGCTTGCTTACTTGATGCTTTTTCTTGAGCCACACCTCCAGCTTGGCATTTTGCTGGTTAATTGGAGATTGAGTCTAGTCAATTTTTCTACTCAGACCAGCTTTGAAATGTGAGCCTCTGGATCTCAGCCTGCTGAATAGCTGGGATTATAGGCATGAGCCACCATTCTTAACATAAACATTGGTCCTTTTTTTTTTTTCCTTTTGTCGATCATAGGGCTTGAACTCTGGGCCTGAGTGCTGTCCCTGAGCTCTTCTGCTCAAGGCTAGTGCTTTACTACTTGAGTCACAGCACCACTTCCAGGTTTTTCTGTGTATGTGGTACTGAGGAATCAAACTCAGGGCTTCATGTATTCTAGTCAAGCACTCTACCACTAAGCCACATTCCCAGCCCCAACCATTGTTTTTTTTTTTTTTGTCGGTCGTGGGGCTTGAACTCTGGGCCTGGGCGCTGTCCCTCAGCTCTTCAGCTCAAGGCGAGCACTCTACCACTTGAGCTACAGCGCCACTTCCAGTTTTCTGGTGGTTTATTGGAGATAGGAGTCTCACAGTCTCTCCTGCCCGGGCTGGCTTTGAACAGCGATCCTCAGATCTCAGCCTCCTGAGTAGCTAGGATTACAGGCGTGAGCCACCAGCGCCCGGTTCCCAACCATTGTTTTTAAGCAAGGTCTTTGCATCTTTTAACAACCATGGGATGTGTACATATGAAGATTAATTATTATGTTACATAATTAATTCCTAATTATATGACTGTGCAATATTATAACTAGCTACTAATTAGTATATGTAAATGCAAGTGCTACTTAAAATGTATTCAGGTTCCTCTATCTTAAATTCTTCCATCAAGAACTTCTTGGATGTCCTTGGCTGTCCTGATTCTATTTCAGTGGGACTTAAGTGTCTTTTTGCTTATGGATTTTTTCCAGAACTTTTCACAATGCCCCCTTCCTCCAGACCCGCCCTGGCCATCAATAATGATTGGCAATGTTGGCCCCAGAAGAGTCTCCTCTGCCTAGTTCCCATGGGTGCCCAGAGATGATGCTAATGAGGATCCCTGGTGGACTGTGAGGGGCTCCTTAATTAAAGCCACTGTAATGAAAAGACAGATCACTGTCTGTCAGGAGGATGAGCCTGTGCATGGCAGGATGTTTTAGCAGCCTCTCTGGGCTCCACCCACCAGATCACCATTAAAAATATCTCCCACAATTGCTCAGTGTCTCCTGAGAGTATGATCGCTGTCCAGTGTGCGTGGAAGAAGGCCGGCTCCGGTAGAGCAGCAAGGACTGCTTTAACAGGAATGAGGGAACACGCGAAACACTGGCCAGTTTTCTGACTCTTAATGTTCTGATGTTTTTGTCTGCCTTCTTTTTGTGTCAGTTGTAGGGCTTGAACTCTGGGCCTGGGCACTGTCCCTGAGCTTTTATTTTTTATTTTTTGGTTGGTCATGAGGCTTGAACTCAGGGTTTGAATGCTGTCCCTGAGCCTCTTTGTGCTCAAGGCTAGCACTCTACCACTTGAGCCACAGTACCACTTCCAGTTTTTGAGTGGTTAGTTGGAGATAAGAGTCTCATGGGGACTTCTCTGCTTGGGCTGGCTTTACTCATGGGGACTTCTCTGCTTGGGCTGGCTTTAAACCGTAGTCCTCAGATCTCAGCCTCCTCAATAGCTAGGATTACAAGCATGAGCCACCAGAGGCCTGGGCACTGTCCTTGAGCTTTTATGCTCAAGGCTAGTGCTCTACCACTTTGAGCCATAGCTCTACTTCCAGTTTTCTGATGGTTAATTGGAGATAAAACTCTCACATATTTTCCTGTGCAGGCTGGCTTTGAACCACAATTCTCAGATCTCAGTCTCCTGACTAGCTAGGATTACAGGCATGAGCCACTAGTGCCCAGTATTTGTTGCTCTCTTGTATTTCCAACATCAGTAGCTAGTGTATAAGGGACCTAGAATAGCATCCCTTGGCAGATCTACACTGGTGCTTCTCAAAGCATCTGAATGTGTTGACAATCTGTGTGAATTCTGGAAATACAATGCAAATGAATGAGTAGAAAAGGGATCAGAGCCAGATGCCAATGGCTCATGCCTGTAATCCTAGCTACTCAGGAGGCTGAGATGTGAGGATGGCAGTTCAAAGCCAGCCCAGGCAGGTAAGGCCATGACATTCTTATCTCCAATTAAGCACCAGAAAACTGGAAGTGGTGCTGTGGCTCAAGTGGTAGAGCGCGAGCCTTGAGCTGAAGAGCTGAGGGACAACGTCTAGGCTCAGAGTTCAAGCCCTACGAATGACAAAAAAAAAAAAAAAAAGAAGAAGAAGAAGAAGAAAAAGAAAAGAAAAGAAAAGGGATCAGATTCCCAGTGTCCCTGATGCCTTTCTACTGTCCCTGTGTCTAGGAACCATTGGTTGTTATACTGCCCCCTGGTGGTGGCCTGCACTCACTCACAGAGCCGCTAAAGCCAAGATCACCCATCCAACCCTCAGGATAACAAACATAGCCAAGAGAAGCCGAGAAGGTCTGTACCTTGGGGCTGTTCTGGGCCCACCTTCTCCACACCTGGTTGATTTGGTGATGCTGAAGGAGAATCTTGGGGTGTCGTTTGAGGTGACCTCACCACTGAGGGCCCCAGTGACAGCCTGTCTGATGGGGACACCTGGGAGGGTGGGGATTGGTGTGGAAGTCCAGGCCGCTGTATCTGCTGTGGAGGTGACGCAGGGGGCGGCTCAGGAGCGGAGCAGGGAGGTAAGCGCAGTGCTGGGGGCGAGGCGGGTGCCTGGGGGGGCAAGTCACTGGGAGAACGCATCCCACAGGCGGCCACGGGTGACCTGGCTGGTTGCTTGGAGGAAGAGACAGGGGATGAGGCCGGTGATTCCATGGGCCGCTCACGCGTGGACCTGGGTGTCTCCTCAGGTGGGTGGCCAGCGTTGCCATCCCCTTGGGGCGTGTCCTGTGAGTGAAGCTGGGAGCATCCTTCCAGGCTGGCCCGCTGTGCTTGGAGACCCGGTTGATGGCGTTCAGGACACTCGTTGCCGAGTGCAAGTTCTATCTGGCAGTACACTTCCACCCGCGGGAAAATCACTCTCTTCGAGGGAGAGTTAAGGTAAGCAGCATCTAGAAAAGGAACAGCCTGTGTCACACGTGTAGTAACTCAACCTTGGCACCTGCAAAAGGTGGTCTCTCTCCCTTCCTTCCTGCCTTCCTTCTTTCCTTCCTTCCTGCCTGCCTCTCTCTCTCTTTCATTCTTCTTTTTCTCTCTCTCTCTCTCTCTTTCTTCCTTTCTTTCTTTCTCTCTCTCTTTCTTTTTTTGCCAGTCCTGGGCCTTGAACTCTGGACTCTGGGCCTGGGCTCTGTCCCTGAGCTCAAGGATAGCACTCTACCACTGGAGCCACAGTGCCAATTCCAGCTTTTTTTTTTTAACTTATTAATTTATTGGCAAAAAGAGGCTCACGTATTTCCCAAACTGGGCTGGCTTTGAACCATGATTCTATGATCTCACCCTTCTGAGTAGCTAGGATTTTACAGGCGTGAGCCACCAGCACCCAGCTCCAGCTTGTATTTGAGATAGGGTCTTGAACTAACGTTGCTTAGGCTTACCTTAGACCTAGATTTTCTTGTCTCCATCAATGAACTTTGGATCCTGCCTGTCCAAGTAATCTAAATAAATCTAAGACACAAAACATGGCCTAGGTGAATAAGTCAATATTTTTGATTAATTGTAAAAAAAACCTGCTGCATCCTATTATATAGGATTAATAGCATTGAATACTGTGGGGTATTGGTAATGGAGACAGGGTTCATGGAAACTCCTTGTACCATTTCTACAATTTTCCCCTAAATCTAAACTAATCTTAAAAAGAAAAGCAAGCTCAGCCAAAGAAAAGCAGCAAGGAATTCCAACCTCGTCCTTGGGACTCTGGAAGGGGGAGGGGAAGCTGAAGACTCCATTACAAAAGCTTCCTAAATTATGAAGATTCATCTTTGCCTCCATATTCGTCTAAAGATACTGGAGCAGGAGTGGTGACTGGGCTTCATCAGGAACGGCCCCAAATACAAGGTCGGGGTTTATCAACTGCAATAGCTTTTGCAGCCCAACTTCCTCACCCTGAGTGGAGAAAAGAGCTGTACGCAGCTTCTAGAGCAAGGCAATAGGATGCCTGGCAGCTCAGTTACAGGGAAACGCAGCACAACTCCGAAATCTTGGGAAAATGGAAAATAAAAGGGTAACAACAGCTTGAAGCCTCTACCTAAAAAACTTGGAGCCAGGTACATAAATCCCAATGGGAAAAAACCCCCAGGAAATTCATAAATAAACAAGGCAACTTATCTCCTTCAAAAGCCAAAAGCTCTACCAAAAAAACGCTTCAATGATAGTAAAGAGGAAATTTTTTTTAACAAAGTGTTTTGTTTTGTTTTTTGCCAGTCCTGAGGCCTGAACTCTGAGCCTGGACACTGTCCCTGAGCTCTTCGGCTCAAGGTGAGCACTCTACTACTTGAGCCACAGCTCTACTTCTAGTATTCTGGTGGTTAATTGGAGATAAGAGTCTCACAAACTTTCCTGCCCAGATTGGCTTTGAACCATGATCCTCAGATCTCAGCCTCTTGAGTAGCTAGGATTACAGGCATGAGCCACCGGTGCCCTGCAACAAAGAAGTTCTTTTAATGTCAAGAATGATCAATGAAATTAAAGAGATATAAAAGCAGTTGGACGAATTCAAAGAAGATACAAAAACAACTCAAGGAGCGCAAGGAAAATTCAAACAAACCGCTGAATGAATAAAGAAGACAATGCAGGGCTGGGAAGGTGGCTCAGTGGTAAAGTGCTTGCCTTGTATGCATGAGGCCCTGGGTTAAATTCCTCAGCACCACATAAGCAGAAAAGGCCAGAAGTGGCATGTGGCTCAAGTGGTAGAGCATTAGTCTTAAGCTGAAGAGATGAGGGACAGCGCCCAGGCCCAGAGAGAAAGAACCCAGGTAAAACTGAGTTCAATCTGTAAGTTTCTATTTATCAAAAACTCTAATGCTGGGTGCTGGTGGCTCATGCCTGTAATCCTAGCTACTCAAGATGTTGAGATCTAAGGATCATGGTATGGTTTGAAGCCAGGCAGGGCAGAAAAATCCATGTGACTCTTATCTCCAATTAACCACCAAAAATCCTGGAAGTGGAGCTCTGGCTCACATGTTTGAGCACTAGCTTTGAGAGGAAAAAGCCAAGCAAGAGCATTAGGTCCTGAGTTCAAGCCCAGGTACCCTAGAAAGTAAAACTTAATCTGTAATGACAGAAAGCAATCAAGGTCTGTTTGAGAATGAGGAGGTGAAGGCCGTGGGGAGGGACCCCAAGAGGAGCAGGGAGTGGGGGCTGGGGGCCTGGGCCTGCCTAGCTAGTACAAGGTCCTGAGTTGTAGAGATAATGAGTTAGTTGTTCACTGCATTTATTTTAGTGATGAGTCCATAGTTGTGTGTGTGCACGCGCGCGCGTGTGTGTGTGTGTGTGTGAGAGAGAGAGAGAGAGAGAGAGAGAGAGAGAGATCAAATTGTGAAAGGAAGGGAGGACGTCTGGCGCCAAGGGGAGGCTTTGGAGGCTGCCTGAGCCGCGGCCTCACGCATCACCGCCATGCCACGCATCTGGGCGGGATGTGGGGTTCCGGGTGGCAGCCAGCGATGCCCTGGAGGTCAAGGAGGCCAGAACGTGATCGAGGGAGGAGGCTGGAGAGGCACGTTTCGGGGTGCAGCTTTCTGGGGGTGCGGTGGGACAGGGGCGCGGTGGGACAGGGGCGCGGTGGGACGGGGGCGCGGTGGGACAGGGGCGGGACCCGCTCCATCACTCCGCAGAGGACTTGGGCGGGTGGGATGCATCGCGCATGCGCACGTGCGCTAGGGCTGGGGACGCGGGAGTCTGGGCTTGGAGCCTGTGTGTGTGTGTGTGTGTGTGTGTGTGTGTGTGTGTGTGTGTGTGTGTCTGTGTCTGTGTGTGTCTGTGTCTGTGTGTGTCTGTGTGTCTGTGTGTGTGTCTGTGTGTCTGTGTCCTGGACGCGGGATGCAGGAGTCTGGGCTTGGAGCCTGTGTGTGTGTGTGTGTGTCTGTCTGTCTGTGTCTGTGTCCTGGACGCGGGATGCAGGAGTCTGGGCTTGGAGCCTGTGTGTGTGTGTGTGTGTGTGTGTGTGTGTGTGTGTGTGTGTGTGTGTGTGTGTGTGTGTGTCTGTGTGTGTCTGTGTCTGTGTGTGTCTGTGTGTCTGTGTCCTGGACGCGGGATGCAGGAGTCTGGGCTTGGAGCCGGTGTGTGTATGTTTGTTTGTTTGTGTGTGTGTGTCTGTCTGTCTGTCTGTGTCCTGGACGCGGGATGCAGGAGTCTGGGCTTGGAGCCACGTGTGTGTGTGTGTGTGTGTGTGTGTGTCTGTCTGTCTGTCTGTCTGTGTCTGTGTCCTGGACACAGGATGCAGGAGTCTGGGCTTGGAGCCGGTGTGTGTGTGTGTGTGTGTGTGTGTGTCTGTCTGTCTGTCTGTCTGTCCGTCTGTGTCTGATGGCTTCAGGCGGATGCCTGCAGTTCCAGCACCTGCCGCATCCCCGGGTTCAAGGCCGCCAGTCACCCTGTGAAATCACCCACTCCCCGCCGTGGGCGGAAGGGTGGGGAGGGCACGGGCAGCGCCCACCCTGCCAGGTACCCCACCCCACCCCACCCCACCTCAAGACTTGCCTCTAGAGGATGAGAAAGAAGAGTCCCAAAGCAGGGGCAGCTGTGGAGGCGGCTGGCCTCGCCCGCAGGGGTGCAGGGGTTTCTGGGTGGGGGTGGAGGGGTGGTGGGGGAGGAGAGCGCAGAGGACTTCCCAAGGCCCCCCCAGCTCCTCCCACTCTGGGGTTCCACGCCCCCATGCGGGTCAGGCTGTCCGCATTTTGGGCCCTTGGGGCTCGGTCGTCACAGCTGCCCACCGTGTGCGTGTGGTGGAAGGGAGGCTGTGAGCCGAGGCCAGATGATCTGAACACAGGTGCGGCTGGGTGTGGGCTGAGCCTGGCTTCCTTTTACCCTCACTGTAAACCTCTGAGGTCAGCTCCATGGTCAGCTCCTTTTACAGATGAGGAAACTGAGGCCCCTGGAGATCGATTGTAAAGATTCCTTGGTGGCTGCCAGGAACTAAGATAGAAACCTTTTTTTTTTTGTTATTGTTTTAATCTAACAGATTAGGAAACCAAGACTCAGGGAGGGGAAATGACTTTCCTAAGGTCACGCAGCGTTAGGGGTGAGTGTGGGGCTGGAGGGGGCATCCAGGCTAGTTGATTCCCTTAGCCCATCCTACTCTGCTGTACTCTACAATCTTTTCCCTCTGGGCTATTTGACGACAGAAAAGGTGGAGGAGAAAGTGCGGGGGCAGGGGCAGGGGCGCTGGAGAAAGCAGGAAGAAAATTTGCAGGAAAAAGAAAAAGGAAGAAAAAGTAGACATTTTAGGAAGAAAATCTCATTCAATCCTGAATCTCACCACACATCCTCCCCTCCTCCCCACCCATGGCAATTTTTGTTGTTGTTTTTGGCCGGTTGTGGGGCTGGAATTCTGGGCCTGGGCACTGTCCCTGAGCTCTTCAGCTCAGGGCAAGTGCTCTACCACTTGAGCCACAGCACTGCTTCTGGTTTTCTGGTGGTTAACTGTAGATAAGAGTCTCATGGACTTTCTTGCCCAGGCTGGCTTTGAACCGAGATCCTCAGATCTCAGCCTCCTGAGTAGCTAGGATTACAGGCATGAGCCACAGATGCCTGGTCCCCCTGGCAATTTTTAAAGCTACATACACTTAAAGGTCACCACAGTGTTACTTATAAAAGGGAATATTTGGAAATTCAAAGACACGATAAGTTTTCTATATAACTGTGAGGAGCTATTATGCAAATATCAAAAAGACCAGCAACAAGAGACCATGTCATATTAGAGAGAAAAGCTTTGGAGACAAAGAGCTCTTTTTCTGAAGCCATGTTCTAAGGAACATTATTTCCTTTAACAAAAACATTTACATGGACACCTGGGAGTGTTTACTATGCACCTTAGAATCGCCCTTCCATCTTCCCTGATGTAAAGCCCAGAAGAGAACCAGCTGAGGGACCACCTTTCCCAATCAGCATGGGCCAGTCTCTCCTCTCTGATTTGTTGATTGACATGTCACTCAAATTCCTACCCAAGGATAAACTACTCATGTCTAATTCTACATGGACAAAATGGCTTTATTACAAATAGGATAAAGTGGATGAGAGTGAAGTAAAATAGAAAATTCTGCTGGGGAATTTGAGCTATGTCTGACCTGAACACAGTTATTCTATTTTATTGTGTCTTTTCTTGTTTTGGTACTGGGGATCAAACCCAGGATGTTCCAATTGCTAGGCAAATGCTTTTCCTACATTCCAGCCCCACCGTTTTATTTTTATCTCCCCTGGGGCCCATGGGGTACTTACTGAGCCTCCTCAGGTACAGAACAGTGTCATCATAGCCCCGGTAGTAGTACTCCTGCAGTATCTGAGAGACACCAGACAATAAGACCACAGTGCTGGCCGCCAGCCCTTCCCACCACAGCCATCGAGCTGGATGTGTTAGGGTTTCCAAACATACCCATCCAGCAGCCCATCCCTCGCTACCTGCTGAGACCTGGGGATGCCTTGTCTGTATGGTCCTAGAAGAGCAGAGTTTGGAGTGTGGGTTCAAATCCCAGTGCTATTACTTACTGGCTGTGTGGTTAGAACTGCTCATGGAAATATTCCTGGGCTTTGCTGGCTACAGTCTCCAATGCAGGCTTGCCCTCCCTCCCCTCCCTCCTTTTCTTTCTTTTTCTTTTGGTCGGTTGTGGGGTTTGAACTCTGGGCCTGGGTGCTGTCCTTCAGCTCTTCAGCTCAAGGTGAGCGCTCTACCCCTTGAGCCACAGTGCCACTTCCGGTTTTCTGCTGGTTTACTGGAGATAAGAGTCTCACAGCCTTTCCTGCCTGGGCTGGCTTTGAACCTCAATCCTCAGATCTTAGCCTCCTGAGCAGCTAGGATTACAGGCATGAGCCACTGGTGCCTGGCTCCTTCCTTCCTTATTCTTTAACAGTTTTGGACAGCTGTAGGCTATATAAAACAAGCCGTGGATTTGGCCCTGGGCTCTGGTTCACTGACTCTCAGAGTGGAAGTGTCAGGTGACATTCCCACAACTGTTCTCACTTCATCCTGTTTTACATGGGGAAATTAAGGGGGGCGGGGGAGAGGGCGGGTACTGGTCCCCAGACACATAATGAGTTAGCAGCAAGGCCAGGAGTCCATCTAAGAGTAAGTGACCCAGGATGCATTGAAGGGGAGGAGACCCAGCCCCTGCCCCATTGCCTGGCTCTGAGTGCCTCTCCCCCCCTCCGCCCTTTCTGCCCAGGGCCCCTCCTGCCTCTCACCACCAGATCCGGGGGAAACAGGGCGTGTGTCATCCGTGTGATGTTCTCCAGGGAGAACTGGAAGGAGAAATTGCACAGGCGGAAGTCGTGGAAGATGGCGGGACAGTCCCGGGGACAGATGTCCTGCTGCCCGCTGAAGGTGGAGATGGTGATGGAGTCCGTCCAGAAGGAGCAGGGCTGCATGCTCGTGAAGCCGCCGTCGATGTACCTCTGGGGGGAATCAAGGGGAAAATGCTTATCTGGGATCCGCATGGCCCGAGGTGGAGAATCTGGCTCGAGGGAACAGCGGGTCAGGAGAGCCCTCGGGATGGACGGAGGTCCTCGTGGAAGAGTGACCTGTCCGAGGTACTGCGTGAGTCCTCAGTGGACCCCAGCCATCGTGGCTGTGCTGAGATGGGCGCGGTGGGGTCTAACCTTCTCCCGCCTCCTCCTTGGGAGGCTTCGGCTTCTCCACCCATGCACTGGACCAGGATAACAAATGCATGGGGGCCCTGCCACTGGGGTGCTTGAATGACTCAGGGTATATTTTGTGGGCACCATCGACCTCACCCCCCCAATCGTAACCTTAGGCCTAGAGTTTGACCTGCACCACTTAGAGCCTACCCTTCAACCAGGAGTTCCACCATTACGGAGGCTGGCTGGGGTGTGGAGTTGTGACCTATCCACACCCCCAACTGACACCCCCAACTCACAGGCACATGAAAGTCTGTGAGCACGCGGCTAGCTGGCCTGAAGACCCCATCCGTCAAGGCCCCGTGTCCCAACATCCCAGGGTCTGTATTCTACAGGCTAGCTCAAGCCAGCAGGGACTCAATTTGCCAGGCTAAGTAATGGGTTCATGGGTCAGAGAAGCCAGGCTCAGTGGGAAGGGCCCACCAACATGGGGAAGCCCCTGAGTTCTGCGATCACCCCACTGATCCCCTAGATGCGGGGCCTGGGGTCCCCTGTTGGGGCCCAGCCCAACACAAAGAGCGCTTACCACACCACGGTAGGTAGGGGGTATGAGGCCACAGTAGACAGGAACAAAGCAGCTGCAGTACAGGGCCTGGGGAGAAAATGGGGCTCGAGATGGCGCAGGCCCTGGGGATGGGATGGGAGGGCTCCATGGCTTCCCCCCTCCCCCCAGCTTCCTCAGCCCCGAGGGGAAGGCACCGGCCACGGGAGCAGAGCCTCAATGTCGATTCCAGGTGAGCTAGGTCCTTGGTAACTACTGGCCAACTGTCTTGGGTTGACGGGACGGGGCGGCCTCAGTATCTATCTCCCTGCTGACACCAGCGTTCCACAAGCCGGGGGTCTGTGTCTGTCCTGGGCCGGGCCCTGGACTCCGAGGATGAAAGGAGCACCCTTGGCAACACTCAAGGATGCGGAAGGGAGATGCCAGCACAAGGGGGACAGGCCTCGAGGGAGGCCACCCTGGGCCTGGTGGCCCCAAGGAGCAGTGCAGGGCCGGAGGCAATGAAGGAGGGGAGGGGCGGGAGGAGGCGAGTTTGGTGAAGCAGGAAGGGAAGTAGGAGGGAAGGGAGATCCCCGGAGAATAGGATCTAGCCGCACAAGGCCCAGGTGGGCGGCTTTGGGTATGATGTGTGTGGTTGGCTTGTGAGGATGGGATTCCAAAGACACAGGTGTGAGGCGGGCACTGGCGGCTCCCGCCTGTCATCCTAGCTACTCAGGAGGCTGAGATCTGAGGATCAAGGTTTGAAGCCAGCGTGAGCAGGAAAGTCTGTGAGACTCTTATCTCCAACTAACTAGCAAAAAGCTGGATGTGGAGGTGTGACTCAGGTGGTAGAGCACTAGACTTGATTGAAAAAGCTAAGGGAAAGTACCAAGCCCAGAGTTCAGGCCCCAGGATGAGCACAAAGAAGACAGACAGGTGTGGGGGGCAGGGAAAAGGGTGGATGTGTGGGATGGAAGGCTACCCAGCTTCACTAACTCTCCTTGTCTATGTGTGCATGTGTGTGTGTGTGTGTGTGTGTGTGTGTGTGTGTGCCAGTCCTGAAGCTTGAACTCAGGGCCTGGGCACTATCCCTGAGCTGCTTTTGCTCAAGGCTAGTGCTCTACTACTTCTGGCTTTTTGGTAGTTTATTAGCAATAAGAATCTCATGGAAGGAAGGGAAGGGATGGTAGGGGAAAAACAAAGGAGGAGGTAACAATGCTTCATAGGAAATGTACTCATTACCTTACTCAGGTAACTGTAACCCCTCTGGACACTATTTTTACAATAAAAAATGTATTTTAAAAAAGAAGCCAGGGCTGGGAAGGTGGCTCAGTGGTAGAGTGCTTGCCTTGCATGCCTGAGGCTCTGAGTTCGATTCCTCAGCACCACATAAGCAAAAAGAAAAAAGCCGAAAGTGGTGCTGTGGCTCAAGTGGTAGAGCGCTCGCCTTGAGCTGAAGAGCTGAGGGACAGCGCCCAGGCCCAGAGTTCAGGCCCCACAACCGGACCAAAAAAAAAAAGAAGCCATACATCATTTTTTTTTTTTTGGGTCGGCCGTGGGGCTTGAACTCTGGGCCTGGGCGCTGTCCCTCAGCTCTTCAGCTCAAGGCGAGCGCTCTACCACTTGAGCTACAGCGCCACTTCTGGTTTTTCTGGTGGTTATTGGAGATAGGAGTCTCATGGTCTCTCCTGCCCGGGCTGGCTTTGAACAGCGATCCTCAGATCTCAGCCTCCTGAGTAGCTAGGATTACAGGCGTGAGCCACCAGCGCCCGGCCCATACATCATTTTTAAAAAAAGAGAATCTCATGAACTTTCTTGCCCAGGCTGGCTTCAAACCTCAATCCTCAGATCTTAGACTCCCAAGTAGCTAAGATTAGAGGCCTGAGCCACTGCTGTCTGGCCCTTTGTCTTTTAAAGAAAAGTTGGGCAAAGCCCCAGCAAGCGCAGCCTTTGCAACTCAGAAGGAAGACTCACACTGGTGAGCTTCGCCCAGTGCTCTGGGTGTGAGCATGCACTGTCCTAGGTGTGGAATTGTCCTGGGACAAATCCTTCTTCTATCGGGGCCTGTGGAGGACAGGAGCGGGGTGAGCGGGCTGCTCTCTGACTCTTCTTGCAAACACAGTAATTCAAGAAGTTGCACACTGTGACCCCGGCTGGGAGGCGCTGTGGGAGCCCTGGCACCCATGCCCCCACCCCTCCATGGGGCTCTTGGGAACTCAGGGATTAGCCCAGAGGCAGGGCGGGACCGGGGGCAGAAGGAGGCCTGAGCAGGGACTGGGGGCATTGTGTCCAGGCTGGGTGGTTTTTGGTCTGTCTGTGCTATCTTATCTAGCCCTGAGCTTGGCACAGACAGATGCTGAGCACTTGGGAAGGGAGGGGCTAGAGAAGCAGAAACGAGGAGGGGGCGGGGCGGGCAGGACCCGTGGGGGGCGTGGCCAGGAGCCCTTGCCTCGATGAGTTCCTCCTTGGATGTGAACTCGGAGACCACCACGCTTTCTCCGTCCTCCAGGCGGGTGAGGCCCACGTGCAGCTTCCCGGTGGTGGCCTTGTAGGAGTCCTCGGGCAGCGCGTGGTACAGAAACCGCCGCATGGTCTGGACCATCTTGCAGGATGGAGACAAGGGGCCCAGGAAGGACTTCTTCACCTCGGCCAGGCCCACGTTCAGGAATCTGAGGTACTCATCTGTGGGAGGAGCAGAGGGTCGGGGCGGCCTCAGCACAAGGTCTTCACCTAGAGTGCGCTGCCCACATGCCCTGAGCACAGCCAGGCATGGAAGGAGGATCTCAGCCTCCACAGATCCCCCAGCTAGGCCAGGGCAGAGCTGGGCGCAGGTGTCCTGCTCCAAACGATCAAACCAGTGGCCAAAAGACACCTTCCACCACCTTGCTCCCAACTCTATCCCTGCAGGGACACCCACCTCACACCACATTCTTGGGATCCTAGATGAGATCGCTGAGAAGACACAGATGCAGTGTGTGTGTGTGTGTGTGTGTGTGTGTGTGTGTGTGTGTGTGTGTGTGTGCGCACACGCATGCGTGCGCGCGTGCGCTGTGGGGCTTGAACTCAGGTCCTAGCACTCTACCCTTTGGGCCACAGAGTCACTTCCAGGTTTTTCTGTAATTAATTGGAGATAAGAGTCTGACTTTGAACCACAATCCTCAGATCTCAGCCTCCAGAGTAGTTAGGATTACAGCTGTGAGCCACCAGCGCAGGGCTCAGTGTGTCTTTACCGGGTGGCGCATGGGACCCTCGCCTGGTATTGAGAACCCCACCTGTGCAGTTTGGGTTAGGAGCTGAGCAAGAAGTGCTTCCATGCTTTACCTGACAACAAGATGTTGAAATAAGAATTCTACCATTTTACGAGTCAGGAAACTGAAGCGCAGACAAATAATATAACTTGAGCAGGATCCAGTTATTTTGTCTAGTATGGAGACAGAGTGAGATTTCTTTTCTGGGAGTGGGGAGGTGGGAGGGCACTAGGTTTGGGACTCAGGATCTTGAATGCAATAAGTAGGAGTTCTACTCTTTGAGCCATCCCTGCAGCCCTTTTTAGCTTGAGTAATGTTTTAGATAAGATCTTGAGATTTTGCCAGATTTAGACCTTGATCCTCCTATCTTCACTCCTAAATAGCTGGAACTGCAGGTATGTCCTATCCCAGCTGGCTTGTCTTTGAGACAGAGTCTCTTGATTTTGCCCTGGCTGGTCTCAAATCACTACCTTGTTGTCCTTGCCTCCCAGTCCCTTTCTATGACACTAAGCCCAAAGCTTGACAGCCTGGTCTCTACCTGATTGCTGCTCATTTGCCACCCCCCACCCCCAATAGGCCCCTAGGAAAATCAGTAGCTCTCAAAAGGCCCGATCCATTTTTTTTTCCAGACCTACTATTCTTGTGCTGAAGACTGACCCCAAGGCGTTGTACCTACTAAACGTGCTCTAGCACTGAGCCCTTAATTAAATCTTTGATTGCAAACCAGCCTCCTACAAGAAGTTTCTTCATGTGTAGTGCTAGCGATGTGGCAAATTGTGCAGTGGTGAGCTCTCTGCCACTGGAAGGAACCAAGCTGGGGTTGTACAAATTCTTCTGTCAGAGCTTATCAGACAGATTTCTAAGTGGGCAGGGAGGGCTGAGAGTCCATCTAACTTGAGATTCTGAGTTTGTCACTGGCACCTAAAAAGATACCTGGGAAGTCATCACAGTGTGCCTTACTCTCCAGTTTGTAAGTAGAACGACTGAGGAGCAGGCAGGTTACATCACATCCAGCAATTTGGGGGACAGACAAAAACTAGAGACACTCTTTCTCTCATTTCTCAGTTCACAGATTATTCCACACCTGTCTTGGAGGTGGACAAGACTCGCCAGGACCATTTTACAGATGCAGAAACTGAGGCATAGGAAAGTATTTTGTCTGAGGTTGAACAGCCAGGCAGTGGTTTCTGACCCCCAAATCCCATCTCTCTGAATTTTTTTCCCCTCAGACATTGGACTGGTCCCAACGATGGAGAGGCTGAGTGAGCCTGGGTTGCCATGGTAACACTCTTCTCTTGGAACACATCTGCATCTGATATGGAAGTACCCACCAGAGCATGGAGCATCTCCGCTCTCACCCCGTTGAGGGGCAGATGCTCCTGGGAGGCAGAAGTCCCAGCAGCCTTATTTAGGTTGGGCTCTTTATGTACCCAGACAGGTACAAACAGTGCTTTACCTCCAGGGAAGGCGGTGGCCAGCTCCCAGGCAGGTTGTGCAGCAATGGGGCATTTCCATGGGAAAGGACTGATCACCTGCAGGACCGGCTGGGATAGGGATCAGCTAGGATGAGGACACACTGCTTCTGAAATTCTTCATGGGTCTCCCACCTCCCAGAGGTCAATGACCTTTCCCAGGTGTGCCAGGGCCAGGGCAGATTCAACTAGTTCTGAACTCTGGGACTCCTGGCTATAGGTGTCCCTGGAATGACTGGAGTTAATTTGATCTTGTCACACAAAGCATACATACTCATTGTGGAATGGTTTTTTTTTTTTTAATGGAGACACACATCCTTGGGAGGCTGAGGCAGGAGGATTATGAGTTCAAGGCCAGCTTGGAATACAGAGAGACCCTAGCTCAGAAAAGCCAAGGACTGGCTGTGTAGTTTAGTGGTAGAATATTTGCCTAAAATATGCAGAAAAAGAAACAGGGAGAGAGAAAGAGAGAGGGAGAGAGAGAGAAAGAGAGAGGAAGAAGATATGAAGGGAGGGAGAAGGGGAGGAGGGGAGAAAAATTCAGTCACACAGAAAGGAAGGAAAAAAAAAGACTTCTTGGGGGCTGGGAAGGTGGCTCAGTGGTAGAGCACTTGCCTTGCATGCATGAGGCCCTGGGTTCCATTCCTCAGCACCACATAAGCAAAAAGAAAAAAGTTAGAAGTGGCACTGTGGCTCAAGTGGTAGAGTGCTAGCCTTGAGCTGAAGAGCTGAGGGACAGCGCCCAGGCCCAGAGTTCAAGCCCCAAGATTGGACCCAAAAAAAAAAAAAGACTTCTTCCATCCAGTACCATTAACTGTCTTTTTAGACTCCATATTTCATTTTTATTCTTTTTTATAGGGAAACATGGTATATACATTATTTTTAACTTGCATTTAAACTTTTTTGGTGCCAGTACTGGGGCTTGAATTCAGGGCCTTGTGCTCTTTCTTGGCTTTTTCCCATCAAGACTAAATTCTACCATTTGAGCCACACTTCCATTTCTAGCATTTTGCTGATTAATTGGAGATAAGAGTCTCTCAGAGGGCTGGGAAGGTGGCTCAGTGGTAGAGTGCTTGCCTTGCATGCATGAGGCCCTGGGTTCCATTCCTCAGCACCACATAAACAGAAAAAGCCAGAAGTGGTGCTGTGGCTCAAGTGGTAGAGCGCTAACCTTGGGCTGAAGAGCTGAGGGTCAGCGCCCAGGCCCAGAGTTCAGGCCTCATGACCGGACCCAAAAAAAAAAAAAAAAAAAGAGTCTCTCAGATTTGTCCACCAGCTGGTTTTAAACCTCAATTCTCAGATGTCAACCTCCTGAGTAGCTATGATTATAGGTGTGAGCCACCGGTGCCCAGCTATAACTTTTTTTTTTGGTGTTGTTGTCGGTTGTGGGGCCTGATCTCTGGGCCTGGGTGCTGTCCCTCAGCTCCTGCTCAAGGCTGGCACTCTACCCCTTGAGCCACAGCGCCACTTCTGGCTTATTCTGCTTATGTGGTGCTGAGGAATGGAACCCAGGGCCTCATGCATGCAAGGCAAGCGCTCTACCACTGAGCCACCTTCCCAGCCCGCCCCAGTTATTTTTCTTAGAATAAATTCTTAACAGTGAGAATGGTAGATCACGGATACACCTATTTCAAACCTGTAAATGCTTAGTTTTAATTGTGGATTCATCATGTTTTTCATTTTGCAGTCAGCTCTCAGCTATTCTGAGGAGAGAGAGAACGTCGGCACAATGGAAATAGTATTGCTTTTCCCAAGGGCTCGTGCCTGGAAATGCTGCAATCTGGAAACCAACAATCGTGTCGCTAGGGAGAGAGGGCCAGGACATCTGGTTTCTCCCAGTTACTGTTTTCCAGCACCTTCTCCTATTTCAAGGCCTTCTTCCAGCCACAAGCCACAAAGGTCTGAGACACAAAGCAAAGCAGGATTTAAAGGTAGAATTAAAGGCCCAGCCAAGCACCAGTGGCTCACACGTGTAATCCAACTACTCAGGAGGCTGAAATCTGAGGATCATAATTTGAAGCAGCCCAGACAGAAAAGTCCATGTGACTCTTCTCTTCAGTGAGCCAGCAAAAAGCCAAAACTAGAGATGTGCCTCAAGTGGTGGAACACCAGCTTTGAGTGAAAAAAAAAATTCAGCACATAGGCCATGAGTTCAAGTCCTAGTACCGGCACAAAAAACAAAACAGTCTTCCTTACAACACAATAAAATAGGTATGGCTGCCTCTATGTTGTAGATGATAAAGTTAAGATTGAATAAAGGTATTTAACTGGCGAGGTGACTGAAGTAGTATGTGTGAAGTTGGAATTTGAGCAAATCTGCCTGGCGCTAATGCCTGAGCTCCTTCTAGGAAATGGAAGTGGCCACTGAAAAGAATGAAATCTCCTAGGCAACTTTCAAATGTCCTTCAGAGCCTCCCAGCCCCCCCCCCCCCCCCCCCCGCTTCTTCGTCCCTTAGTTGACAATGAAGTTGTTCACACCCTAGACTCATCAAGTCTGGTGAGCTGACCACTCTAAACCATGTGGGTAATTCTGTGTCCTGTCCATCGCTCTGGGATGATCTTCAAGTAGGCTCTCCATCTGGCTCAGGTGTATATTTTCCTTTGTTTATACATTGGGCAGACATTGAATACCCCCAGGGTTCAGTGAAGACTTGGTAGGCACAGGGTGAATGGCCCTGGAGGGTGCCCACACTTCAGGGTGTTTCTTTTCTTCTCTTTTTGCCGGTCGTGCAGCCTGAACTCTGGGTCTGGACGCTGTCCCTCAGCTCTTCAGCTCAAGGTTAGCACTCTACCACTTGAGCCACAGTGCCACTTCCAGCTTTTCTGCTTATGTGGTGCTGAGGAATTGAACCCAGAGCCTCATGCATGCAAGGCAAGCGCTCTACCACTGAGCCACCTTCCCAGCCCACTTCAGGGAGTTTCTGACAGGACTTTGTCCATGGACAAACTACAGGTCATGAGA